AACTTGGAGCAATGGAAAACCGGGTAGACGGGCAAGTGGGCGGGCACCTGAACTGTGAAGGAAGGTCCCTCAGGTGCATCCCCAGCAGGTGCTACAATCGGCCATGGCCCCATCCATTTCGGGAGGAGCTTGCGAGAGATATCCTGCTCAAGGCTGAATTCCGCGGCGGAAACCCACACGAGGTCGCCGGCGCGGAATGGAAAAGGAAGACGCTGGCGATTGGCCTGCTGGCTCATGCGTTGCTGCGTATTTGCCATCTGATTGCGTGCCTTGACAAGAAGCTCTTGCATCCGACGCAAGAAAAGGAGATGGTCGTCGCTCTCGACCGTGCGTGGAACGATGGTGTCCAACGGAGAAGTGACCGGAGAGCCATGCTCAAACTCGAAAGGCGACATCCCAATAGCCGGGTGGATGGACGAATTGTAGGCCAATTCGACATCCGGCAGCCGCTCAACCCAATCCTTCTGATCGGGACGGATGAGAGTGCGAAGGAGAACCTGTGCCGTCTAGTGCGACCTCTCCGTTTGGCCATGGGTCTAAGGGTGGCGAGCTGAACTAGGCTTGAGAGATGAGCCCCATCGTTTGGTGAGCGCCAACCAAAAATCAGACATGAACCGAGTGTCGCGGTCGCAGACGATTTCCTTGGGGTAACCCTTGGTTCGAATCCAAGCGGCGCTGAGAACCTCGGCCAACTCTGGTGCCTTGGCATGATAGCGACAAGGCAAAAACATGGCAAACTTGGTGAGTCGATCGACTACCGTGAGAATCCCATCCATACCGGTCTTGTGCTTGGGGAATGGCCCAGTGATATCCATGCCAATCGCCTCCCGTCGGCGCAAGGGAACCGGTAGTGGTCGCAACTCGCCATACGGACGATGATTGCGAGATTTGCAACGTCGGCAAATCTCGCATGACTCGCAGTAGCGTGTGACGTCGTCGAGAAGACCGGGCCACCAAAATCGCTCGCGAAGTCGGCCAATCGTTCGATTGATGCCAAAATGTCCGGTGGCGGGAGCATCGTGGAACTCGCCAAGAAGCCGTGTACGCAAGTGAGGGTCACTCGGTACGCAAAGAAGATCCTTCCCCCGCGAGTGGACAAGCAAATATCCCTCCTGGATCCGATAGTGAGAAGGTGCCGGATTGGGCGAGGAACAATTTGCGTACTTGTCGCGAAACTCGGGGTCGGCCTGGTAGCCGCGGATAAAATTGTCCCGCAAGTCGTTATCAATCTCGAAAGTCGAGTAGACTGCGGTGCAATGGTCCGGACGCCGTGAGAGAGCATCCGCAAAACGGTTCGACTTGCCCGGAATGTGATCGGGGAAAAACTCAAACTGCTCAATGAAGGTCATCCAGCGGGCGATGGTGTTGTTGACTGTGTCCTGGGTCTTGTAAAAGACCAACAGGTTGTTGTCCGTTACCCATCGGAACTGCCGTCGACCAAGAAGGAAATGCCACCAGCGCTTGAGTGCGTGTACGAATGCCAATAACTCCTCCTTTCGTGCATCATCAATAGAGTGCACGGCGGGCACTTTCTTGCTGAAATACTCGAGTGGGTGCCAGTCCACGCCATCGTGTTGTTCGAGGACTGCACCAATGCCATAGCCGAATGCATCAGTAGTGACGCGTGTGGGCAATAGCGGGTCATAGATCCGCAAGACCTCCGCTGACAAAAGTGCAACTTTAAGAGCCAAGAAGGATTCCCACGCATCCTCGTCGAAGTCAAACGGTCGATCCTCGCATTGAAGCTTGGTCAAATGGGCCGCGATCTTCGAATAGCCCTTGATGAAGCGCTGATAGTAGCCGGCAAGACCAAGAAACGAACGGACATTCGTGACGTTACGCGGCTCCGGCCATTCCTGGATGGCTTGAATTTTCTTTGATAGGGGCTAATGCCCTCCGGTGTGACAAAATGGCCCAAGTACTCAAGCTCTTGCCGGACGAACTCACACTTGTCGCGGTTGGCTTTGTACTTGGCACGGCGGAGCGTCTCCAACACTCGTTGAAGATGCTCAAGATGATCCTCCAAGGTCCGACTATAGACAAGAATGTCGTCTAAGTAGACCAGCACAAACCAATCCAGCATCGCACGAAACTCATTGGTCATTGCCGCTTGGAAGGTTGTCGGGGCATTGGTGAGGCCAAAAGGCATGACCACCTACTCAAAATGCCAATACCGTGTCTTGAATGCGGTTTTGTAGCAATCATTTGGGTGTATCGAAATTTGATGATACCCTGACTTCAAGTCCAACTTGAAAAAGAACTTAGCACCGCCCAATCGCTCAAGAAGGTCGTTGATACGAGGAAGAGGCCCCGCATTCTTCACAGTTTGCGCGTTGAGCTTGCGGTAGTCGATGCACAAACGTAGATCCTTGTTCTTCTTCCTTACGAAGAGAACCGGTGCTCCATATGGGGAGCTGCTAGGGCGGATCCAGCCCTTGGCCAACAAGTCGTCGAGTTGTGCGCGAAGGACCTCCAGTTCCTCCTCGCTCATCCGATAGATGCAACCTTTCGGCGGCACRRCACCGKCCTCAAGAATGATCTYGTGAGAGATCGGCCGATCCGGCACCACACCGGTAGGTGACTCGAAGATGKCGGCGAACTCGTCAAGCAGCCGTACCACACGGGGGTCCGAAGACAAGTCCGATGGTGAAGAGTCGGCTACCACGACGGTCCGCAAGAAACATAGGCCTATCTCGTCGGGTTGCTCATATGCACGTGTAGCCCGGAACGATTTGGCCGTCACGACTTGGCACCGGATCGAAGGGTGAGGAAGAGGAATAGTACGCGGCACCTCGGCGCCGAGGGCGTCGCGAACGGTGAGAGTCCGCTGGTGAAAGTTGACCGTGTGATCCGCACTTGCGAGCCAAGGCATTCCCAGGAAGATATCGAAGTCCGTGTCCAAGATGTCGAACGTGACCGGTTCGCATGCATGAGGTGCGAAGTACACCGGTACAGCCTCCATGTAACGGTCGAGAAGTTGCTGCGTCTTTCCATCCGCCAACTTGATCGCCGTCGGGTTTGCCTTCCTTCGAACCTGCGCGCCGAGGCCAGCCCTTTGCATAAAGGCTTGGCTCATGAAGTTGCGAGTCGCGCCGCTATCCAGCAAAGCGCTGCARGACGCTTGCCCAACTTGGATGCGGACATACATCAGCGGTGCGTTAWTGYCGTCGTACCGCTGCGTGCGAAACTCGCGGRCCACCTTGGTAACATATGCCAARATATCCCCCACCGCGACCTCGTCATYCGTCGGCGAAGTTGGTGGTGCATAGAAGGACAAGTACTYGTGAAGATGGKCGCAGAGTGCKGCGCATTGCGGTCCCGGCAAGCGGCCCGTGGGCGGGAGAGGAAGCCATGCGAAATCCTCAGACGTGAGCGGGTTCAATTCCTCTATGTTGAACTCGCGCGCCGAATCCCGTGAAGAACCACTTGAAGACGAAGAAGAACCGCTGCCGGATGGAGAAGATGCCGCACACACGTCTTGTCCTTGAGCAAAAGATCCCAGCGTCGGAACGAGCCGGGCAGCATAGTCCTCAAAAGAATAGAGAAGAGGACTGTCGACTTCCGCATGCGCCCCGGAATGAAGGCCGGTCACTCACGACGAAACCGGTTCCGAAGGCGTCGAGAGTGTCGTTGACTCACTCTCGGCGGCGCTCAGTTTCCCTGCTTGCCCTTCCCCTTGGTAGGGCAGCCCGCTGTCTCGTGGCAGTCGCTGTTGCACCACAGGCAGTAACGGTACTTCATGCGTTGCTTGTAAGCTTGCTCCGAAAGACCGTAGGGGGTCCAGGGCCCCTGAGCTGCTGCGCCGGGCCCGGGGTTTGATGTGGTGTTTGTCTTTGATTTGCCGCGTCCTCGGCCTCAGCCGGGGCGGCCACCATCCCGGGCAGCTGCGATTCTGTCTCCTTCATTGGCAGACTCCGCCTCGCTAGACTGGCTGCTTGGCGATGCCGCCGCAACCACGGCCACCTTGGGCCGATGCTGGTCCTTGCTCGGGCCTACCGAAGCACGAGTGAGGTTCTTCGCCTCCTTGTTCGTGATGATAATCTCTGCGGCCTTGTCGAACAGTTGCGCCGTCGTTGTCAGTGTGTCCTCGACATGCGTCAAGGCGTTGCTCAACGCCGGACACGACCTCGAAATGAAGTAGTGCTTAATGGCTTTGAAGCCATCGGGAGACCTGGGACGGATGTCAAGCGTTGGTACTCGGCAATCCAGTCGACGCTTGGCAGCGAGCCTTGCTCGAAGGTCATGAGCTTGTCCATGGCCTTGATCTCCGGCGGCTCCCCTTGGAACCGCTTGTGCCACGCCGCCTTGAGGTCTTCCTAGCTGATCTTCGTGTGTAACTCGGCAGCGACCACCCCGTACTGGGACAAGAGATTGTCCAGCCATGCCTGGCATGCGCCTCCCGACCGGGAGTATAAGTACGCGTGGTGCTTGCACTCGCTAACGAGGTGCAGCTGCAACGTGAGTTCAAACTTGCGGAACCACTGAACTGGATCCGTCTTTGTTGAATCGCAGAAGATCTCCTGACCGTCAAACTTGGGAGTTGACTCGCGCTGTCCCGAACTCGGGCTGGCGGCGGCAACACAGACCCGCTGCTCCAATTGTTGAGTAGCGGTTTGTTGTAGTCGTGCGCCGTCCTTGAGTGTGCTGACGTCAGTCTCCAATGCGTCCAGGCGGTCTGATGTGTTGGAGGAGCTTGCCACAGGGGCGGCGGCTGGTCGTTGCGCCAGCTGCTGTACGCGGCTGCGAACACTCTTGACTTCGGCATCGAGGCTGTGAATGTCCTCCTGCTGCACGATGCATGTCGCCAGGAGGTCCGTGAGATGGGAGAGGAGGAGGGCAATCTTGGTCTCGCTCTCCTCCATCTTCCCTGTCTCCGCCTCAGTTCGCCATTCCGCTACCAATGTGAGTAATGCTTGCTCCCCGCTGAAAATCTTCTCACGCCGCTTCAATCGTTCTTCATCTGCAGCCTTCGCTGCTGCCTCGGCCTGCAGACGCTGCTGTTCAAAAGCTAGCAGTCGTGCCTGCTCGGCATCCTCCGCCTTCTTCTTCTCTGCGACTGCTACTGCATCCGCCCGCTGCTTGGCTTCTATGCTCAAAGCCAGCATGCGGTCCTGATATGCCTCCGCCGTTTCCCCCGATTTCTGGTCCATGACGGCTGTCTGCGAGCGCGTCAGCATAAACAGGCCCGGGTGGCTGACGTGGCACTCCCTGTTGACGTGGCCTGCTGATGTGGTCCGCTGATGTGGTCTGCTGACGTGGTCTGCTGACGTGGCCCGCTGACGTGGCAACTTACCAATGCCACCACAGGGAACACCCGGAATGGATGAAGAAGATGAGATCAGAGATGGCAAACAACGTAGATACAGAGGGTGGGTGGGGTAGATCGCCCAGATAAGGAGCCGCTAATCAAAACAGAAAAGGTTGAACTTTGCAAAAAAATTCTGAGGGGACGAAGAGAGAGGAAAAA